TGAAGAATGGTAGGATGACTTTAAAATAAAAATTATGAAACGATTTTGTTAGAAGAACTTGTAGATAAAGGAAGGAGATGAAAAAGTTTTTGCCTTATCAAAGTTCCATCACTTTGTAAACTGATTAGATAACTTAATTTTATATATAACATCATCTTATCATATTCTAGATATCCTAAGAAAGAAACAATGAAGGAAAATTAAAAATGCTTTTAATAAAACTTTTTGTTTGAAAATATTCAAAGCAGTTTTATGAACCTGAGTCTGAGTTTATGTTACTTTAACGAGATATAGAGCAAGATTTAACAAAAATTACAAAGAATCTAGTGAGAGACATTTCCTCTCTACAATTATACTGAATTTCATTCCATTCCCACATGATGAAAAGGGGTCTGAAAAAGGTTTAATAAGCCATCTTTATGGACTAAAAGAAGTGAAGGAAAGAAGCAAAAATAATACTCCTAAGTCCTAAGGTACAATTCCTATTAACTACCAAAATCATTACTTAGTCATAAAAAGGGGAGCCTTAGTGGCACCAAAAACAAAACTATATGTTAGGATAGGATTACTTGATGAGGCTTTTTCTTTTCCTTTTATGTGACTTTCTCTTTATTTCATTCAACGGGCCTGCCTGCATGGGAAGGGGAATGATGATTTTGAGGAGTTGATGTGGATACTGACCAAAGTGCTTGAGACTTGATAGGCAAATAGAAAGGAAGGCACAAACTTGTCAGATATGTCACAAGGTATGATTGAAGATCAAGAATAGAAGATGTTTGTTGATACGTAGGGAGGATCTTAGATGTTGATGGGGGTCTTTGCCATGGCCAATGGGGTAAAGTAAAAGATTATTTTTGACTGAGTTCCCCACAAAAGAGGAATTAAAAGGGACAACCGTGTACTTGTGTCCACTCACTCCCACAATCGGGAAGCTAATAAAACATTAGATGAGGTAATGCTGCTAACTGATGCACCAATCTGATGGTTGGATACGAGGAATTTGTTCAACATTTGCAAAAGATTGAGGATAATGTTTTGTGAATAATACAAGACAATAAAATGTTGTTCTTTTTTAATTTCAAACTATATTCTTGTGATTTTTTTTATCCGTTGAAATGATATTCAATACAAGATATTTACAATAATTCATCACCTTATTGGCTTGTTCAACTATATAGAGTTAGAGCGTGTTTGTATACACGTTTCAAACGTGAAAAATCACGTTTAACGTGGAAGCTATTAATAATAGCTTCCACGTTAAACGTGATTTTTCACGTTTGAAACGTGTATACAAACACGCTCTTAGACTCCCTTAATTGATTATGTACGGAACAATTATTTATTTTATGTTCAAATAATACTATTTTAGTATCTATGTATAAATAAAAAAATCACACTAATTAAAACAATTAGTTAATATCATTTAATTTTATCAATCTTACTTAAAAAAAACATTTTCCTAAATTAATATTCATTAAAATTTAATATAAAAAGTCATTAAAAATACAATTTCAATGGATATTTTAGAGATAATATTATTAAATAGAGTTTTTCATATTTTAGAGTTTTATTAGAACTTAGGTAAAAAGTTGGAATGAAATGTGGAAGGATGAACTCCCACCATGCACACCACAATTCACAATTCCAAGTGACAGTGAGAAAATGCACTAAACTACAAGTACAATGCCATAAGCATTGCATAGTTATGAAAATGAAAGGAAAGGAGCAAAGACAAATATGTTCATGGTTACTCTTCAGGTCTATCAAAGGAACATGTGTATATATAGTAGTTAGTACTTATTAGACTATAGAGCACGAATAGCTGGACGGCAGAAACCCATTGCCACTTTTTCAACTCCGAACAAATCAGTTTTCCACACCTAACTCCGACCATGCCTTTCTGTTTTCCTAATCCTCGTTTTATGTAAAATGCCTTTTTCCCGTTTTTTGCCATAAATTCGTGCTCCATTACTGCACCCAGTGATTCTCTCGGAGTACTACTGTCATCATTTTTTTTATTGAAATTGAACGGGGCCCAATGCCATTGATTTCTTTTTTCTAAGCATTCCATTTTTTTTTATTTTTTTTTATTTTTCGAAAAGCACGAATTATATGATCTTGGAAACACAGCACAGCCAGCATTGCTAATTTATTTTTCCTGAAGTAGCACTAAATATGGGCCAGGCTTCGTTCCATAGTACTATCGATGCAACATAGCTTCGATATATAATACTACTACTTTATGGGAAGATAACTTTGATATATATACATTGAACTTTAACATTTATTCGGTGCAACTTACTAATACACATTCACATCAATGAATGGGTGCCAACTACGTAAAATTATTTTCTCAATTTGTCATGTGGCTCCATTTTTTTCCGAATAAACGATTAAAGATCCAAATGTGTAGCAAATGGGAATAAGTAAAAACAAAACTATTAAGTGGTTGAACACATTATGAGAATGTATTAACGCCCCTAAATTTATGCAGTTTGCGCATGTCAGAGAAACCCTATATAAAGAACCCTCATTTTCCAGAGAGGTAGATCTGAGTATAAACTTTCCTCGGCCATAAGATATGTGGGTCCAATAATGAAAATCTTCACACCAGTATCTACTGCAACTATAAGCTACTCCATATTATTGGAAATAATGACAATACTGAAGTTAATAGACTAATAAAATATTCATGAACCCACCAAATAAAATTGACATTAACAACGAAGCCCAATAATCAACCAGCGAAATTAAGGGACAAGTACTGGAGTGGATTTTGGAAGAATTACTCCGGGCTAAAAGCACAGTTGGAGCAGGGAATTTCTTTTCAATTTTGAGAATATACAGTGTCTAAGATAATTCCCAAAGTTGATTAACAGACAAAAATGTTATGCAGAAAAATCTCAGTTACTGCTAATAAGCGATGTTGCATACTACAGACTACAATGGATGTCTCACGATTTTCTGTCCAACCTCCTTTCGCTAGATCTTTTCTCTTCTGCCTCTCGCCGTTTCTGTTGCCTGTCCAACAAAATACAGATTTATTGTATAAAACAACTATTTCACCTAATTGCCAGTTGTCAGAACATCAACCACACAACAAATAGTTTTTAGTAAATGGTTAAATTAGTCCATGAAATTGTATGTCACACGCAATTTAGTTCCTAAGCTCAAAAAAAAGTCTCTCAAAATGTAATATATCACTCATTTAAGTACTTTTATTAAATAAGCTCTATTTTTTTAGACAGAAGTGTCTACGTGACACAATAGTATCATGTGGTATTTCGCATACATGAAGTATATATGTAGAGTAACATGTGTCATGTAGATGTATCACCTGACATATATGTTTTACACGTGTGTATATATATATATATATCTATCTATATATATATATATATATATCTATATATATCATTTTAATCTCCAAACATTATCATAATTTTATTTTAATCAAGTAATTATGACTTTAATATTTACACAATAAAATAATAATTAAGTTAATATTATGAATATGATGATAATATATTCATCCTTCAATTATCAATTTTTATTCAATTATTTTATAATACATAAATAAAAAAAATTCCAGTATATATATATATATATATCTATATATTATTAAAATAAAAAAAAATAGAATATCAAAGACATAAAAAAATGTAATTTTAGGAAAATGAAAGTAATAGATATTTTTCACAATAGAAAAATAAGAAATAATTTATATAAGAAATTAATTATGAAAATAAAATATATAGAGAAATTAGAAACTGCTTTATTTATGTATTTTAGTAAATAAAATGGATAAAAGAAGGGGGAAATTGACAATTAAAAGAAGAGATATAGCATATTTAAAAAAAATAGTATTTTAGTATGTCCAATGCACATGTTAAATGTTTATTATACATAACTAAAATTTAAAATAAATTATGTAAAGAAATATGTAAATATTATGTTTGAATATATAAATTATATATAAAATTTGAATAAATAGTTATTTTGAAATATATAAATTATATTATAGATTTATGATAAATAATTTATATCATACCACAAGATTATTTTTATTTAATGATAATTTATTTTAAAAGTATTAATATTTAACTCATAAATATTTATCATAAATAAAAACAGAATTAGATATGAAATTAAAAGAATCCCTAAAACCCTTCTTGTTGAAAAAAAGCTCCTAAAAGTGTTCTTGTGCAATATAATTGTTGATGTTTATATATAGGGGTTGATACAATGTTAAATATCAAATCTTTAATATGATTTGAATATATTTACCATCTTATTTACAATATTAATTTAATTATCTATTTTATTATGAAAATATTCAAGTCAAAATTATTTGATTAAAATAAGATTATAATAATGTTTGGGGACTAAAGCGACATCAAATTAAAATTTTAGGGAATAAAATGACATTAAGTTTCAACTTTAGGGACCACAGTGACAGTATTACAGTTTCAAGGATTAAAATGATAATTGTATTTTATAGTCATATGTCAAGTGGAACATATATGTCATGTGACATGCCGACGTGACACATGTCACTCTACATATGTACTACATGTATGTCACATGACCCTATGGTGCCATGTAGACACTTTTATTTAAAAAAAATGTAACTTACTTAACAAAAGGATTTAAATAAGTGACACTCTAGTTTTTATCTTACTAGGTAAAGCCTGCAACATGACCATTGGACTTGGTTAAAAATCAACTTCACAGGTATACAGAACAAAAATTAAACTAAACTGGGTTTGTACATTTTGCACTCAACCTGAAGTTAAACATTATCAACGTCTTTACAGAAAACAGTAAATAATCCAGAAAAAGACTGCAAATTTATATAAAATGCATTAAGAATTACTGCAAGCACGATGTTAGATACAAATCAATTTATAATTGACACGTTAACTTAGTTTGCTTAGATCAAACCTATAGTCGCCACATAAAAACTTACGTAAATATGTGATAGAACAATTAGTAGTAACAGGACAACAAATAAAATTAAGAATTGAGTCATCCACAGTCAATCACATAATGGTTCCATCAGAGCAAGAACCTGCTAGGAGCCAAACAATAAACTGGAAAACATGTTTCTTATGTATAGATAACTGACTATTCAAAACCAATATTTAATTTTGGAAATCTCTGCAGATAGTAAGTGATATGTTAATTTAGATTCTAGTTTTTCGTAGATTTGACATGTTCAAATTGGTAAAATCCTACTATACCTCAAAAATGTCAACACAATAAAACATGCCAAACCAAAATCAATGTTATCAAGTAACCATTATAATCCCATTATAACATAATAGCTAAAGGTCTCCAACTAAAACGCCATTTGTCATCCGTTATTTGGTGTTTTATGGCAGTGTCTGTCATATTTGCCATGGCGCCCACCATGGCTGTCGCATCATAAAAGTTTATGACAGCCACGGCGGATATGGCACCTTTTTATTAAAAAAAACCATTTTAGAGTTTCTCACCCGAGCCCAGACCATTTTAAGAAAAATCCAAAACACTTATGCCCCGAACATGGAACACTGTTATTTCCAACCCTGAACATTGCTGCTGCCTTAGGATTCTTTGAACCTTCGTTCAACTCTGGCAACCTGAACCGCAGTGACCCCTCACAAACCTTGGAGTGAGGTTCAAAACAGGTTCTGTTTTTTAGTTTTTTTCTTTCCTTCTACTCCTTCCTCTTCTGTCCAATGATTCTTCATCTGTTTTATTCATCTTTTATTCTTCTATTCCTCTTCTTCATCTGATCTTCATCTCCTTCATGTTGGGTATGGTTTGAGTTTCGATTTTGTTTAAACATTGAAAACTATATTTTGTTCCTTATCTTTCATTCTGCTTTGTGTATATATATATATATATATATATATATATATATATATATATATATGTAACTATTTAAGTTGATATTTTGTTTTTAATTATTTTTGCTGTTTGTGATTTATGTAATGCAGTTTTTTTTTTTGAATATGTATATTATTTTCTTTTGCCACAGGCCACCATGCCGTCCGCCATATGTTTATAACAGATTTTTGGCTCACCGCTATAAACCGCTATCCGTTATCAATGAATGACCTTGAACAAAATCAAATCTCAGAAATTGAAAGCATAGACAAAATAAAAAGAGAACTAGAACTAGAACAAGAACGCATATGAAAATTCAAAGTTGTTTATCAACTTACGCAAATTGCATGTATCCACCACCAGCATTAGCAGCAGTTAAAATTGCTGCATGAGCTCCAGTAGTAGATACAGAATCCAGACCCGTAGAGGGCAGAGAATTTTTTCGATCACCATCCACCTAGCATTCACTAAAGTTTCGTAAGCACAATGAAGAATGTCACTGAAGATGCAATTGCCTTTATTTAGATGAATACCTTATCCCATTTTGATTTTTTATTCTGTCTACCATCCCGATTAATAGAGTCAGCTGTAGGAGGCACCAAAGGCAACCCACTTGCAGTCACAGTAGAAGCACCTATGGAAAAAAAATCGATATAAAACACCAAAATGTGGAAATTACTTCTAAGGAACAGCTTCACAACTGCATAAATAAATTAAATGGTTTCTGAACCTGCAACAGGCATGCTAATCCTAGGAGCGCTAGCTACAATTCCTGGTTGCGCACCCCCTGAGATAAACTCAACCTTCTGTGTTTTCTTCTTCTCTTGCTCTTTCCTCTCACTTTCGCGCCTCATATCAGCTTCTGTTTTGTTTTTAGTAAAGAGACATGAGCAAAAAGGAGTATATAATTGAAAAGACAATAAAAGCTGCAAAATCACCAACAATAAGTAATACATAAAATAGTTTTGAGAAAGAAACAGTACTACAAACAAGTGAAACAACACAACTATAAATAGATGCCATGAATGATACCAAATATTTACATATCAAAAATACTTGGCACGTATCTAGTTTACATAAAGACTAACACAACTTCGATTATAAAAGGGGGCAGGCAAATATAAATAAAAAAATCTGAGGCGTCTTCAAAGTAGAGCTGCAAAAGAAATCATGATTTCTCTGAATTAACAGTTATTCAAAATACATGGTTTGATCAAATATACTTCACCAAGCTTAGCATAATTACTCTTAACACAAGCTCAAATATGTTGTCAGCCATAAATGTTAGCCTCAATGATATGTCATCTTTGAAACAACAGGGAAAACACCTAAAAATTTAAAACTAAAAATAATTCTAACATTGAAATCCAAAAAATATTAGTGAAAATAAACAGCAATCAATCACCTAATTCTGAAAGAGAGAAGGGGGGGGGAGATAAATATGCACAGACACTACACAGTAAATTGGATGATTATTTAACAAAACATGGGTAAAAAAGAAGCAAAGTAAACACAAATACTGCAAGCAACAAGAAAAAAGATGGAGGTAGCAGTTATCTACCTATTTCATCATAGAAGTCGCTTGAATCATATCCATGAGGGTCAAATACATCTTTACTGAAGCAAGACCCTGTTTGATCAATATCCTGGTACCTCACTGCATGCAGTAAGAAGTCAGGGTTTCTATAGTCCTTCCTGTTGCGAACTTCAGCATTAAAACTTTTTCCAGCCTTCTTATACTCTAGGAATTTATTTATTTTTCTCTGCCATAATATAAAATTAAGTTAAAGACAATGATGTCAAGGGAATGCAATGTCTAAAAGCTACAAAACCAAGACAGAGAAAGCTAGAAATTAGAAACATGATTGCATGAAACATCCTACCCACTACCCAAAACATAAAATTTAATTGGATTACTGAATGCAATGCAATGTTTAAAAGCAATAGAAAGGATGCAGAATCATTTCCTTCTTTTCTTTTTTTTTCTTCCCTCTTTTGTTAAATTGGAAAAATGGAAATGTGATAGAAACATTTAATACAAATATTTTCTTTGACACTACAATGCATAAGTTTTGTATGTCTTGAGTGATGCATCATACTCTCCGTTCCAAAGTAGGCAATATGAGTGTAATTTGTAGATGGGTTGAGGGCAGCACTTGAAGTTCAAGTTTAACCAGAGAAAAGAAAAGTAGCTGCTCAAATAAATGAGAAATTTAAACTTGATCTTAACTTGGTTAAAAATTTCAAAGCTTAGGCTTGGTTCATTAGCTTGTTTATAGCTTAATTGTTTTTTTCTTTATTGAATTCCTCTTTGAATAAAAATTATAAAATATATTATTAAATTATTTAATAGATACCTTCATGCTAAACAGTTAAGTAAAATCATAATAAAATATATCTTTATATTCATAAAGATGACTTCAAACTGAAGATGAAATTATTAAAGATGAAAACTTCAAGGAGAAATTATAATCATCTATTCAAAATATGACTCCTAAAAATTGACTTTAGGTAAATGATACACAAATAAAATTATTATATAACAAATCAAATTGCAATTATCTAATAAGTCATACAAGCATACATTTACACATACACAAGTGCACATACACATATATATGAGCTATTTGCACACTTTTAATGTCAAACCTACAAAACTTAAGCTTGACTAATTTAAATGATTTGAGTCTAATTATAAGCTTGAGTTTATAACTAAACAAACATGCTTGAACGATCTTAAGTTGAGCTCTGATAATTCATAAATTGCTCAACTCATTTCTACCCCTAGTAGGCACCCCATACATCCACATTCTCAGCACTAGATGAAGAGGCATACATATTACTGTGGAGAGGAAACCCATTAAATTTCAAACATGATATATTCATTTTTCTAACGCCAGCAAATTTAATGTAAACTGATTTTAAACTGCAACATCTGAGATGTCCCTTAATAGGAGCAAGTGTGACTAGGATATTTGCTATGAGATTTTTCTCCTTAAAGGTATCTAAACATTTAAAAAAACATCATAATCATAATTATAAATTCTTTTTAAATTAAAACCCTAAACCATCAAACGAATTAATTGGCCCAAGTGCACTAATGAATTAATTAGGCTGGTTCAATCAATTCAAATCATCTTGGTTCTATAGAGCTAGTCCCAATTCAAATCAACTGAAATTCTAAACAAAGTCCCTTAGAAGTAGGAGCGAGTGTGGCTAGGATATTTGCTATGAAAATTTTATCCTTAAAGGTGTCTAAACATTTAAAAAAAATTATAATTATAAATATTTTTAAATCTTTTTATATTAAAACCATCAAAGGAATTAATTGGCCCAAGTGCACTAATGAAATAATCAGATTCAATCAATTCAAATCATCTTGGCTCATTGTAGAGCTAGTCCTCATTCAACTGTGCATACCAATGCTTTAGACCACTTCTATTTGTTCTTCTAACGACCAAGGTGTTGCTCAGATTTGGGCCTTTATTGGTCTTTTGTTCAAGCAAAAGACTGTTTCTTGGGTCTTTGGATGGTATTTTGGTTTTGACCCAAAAAAATAATGAAACCTAAATGACAACTATGCTTTCATCTTCAAGCTTCAGCTTCAGCACTTTAACCCTCTATTTTGCCTTGCCAAGTTCAGTTCAACTCCAGGTTTCCAACCACAGTAAAATTGTCACTTTTTCTCCAATCTCCAACAAAAATTTGCTAACAGACAAAACCCAAAATAATGTTTTCAAGAGTTGGGCTGCATGCAAGAGAACATTTTTGTTGTGACTCGGAATGCACAATCACACAATTCACCCTACATTCATTATTCTTGCAATTCAAGCAATTCAGAGTGCAATTCAAGGTCAAAATTAATACACCTTGCAATCTGAATTAATGGCCCTAGGAATCATATTGAATTGGATATGAATCGTACAATTCTTGTGATTCTAATAAATATGATGCCCACGCAAAAAAATAAATAAATACATAAATAAAACCATAAAGGACCAAAGCAAACTTGTCTAAATCAGTAATGCAGGCTACTTAATAATATAACAAAATGGTATTCAACAATTGATAGTAATTGAACCATTTTAACAGAACTTACTTGTAGCTCCTCTGAGCATTTAGCTTTTGGTGGGGGAGGAAGAAATTTATCCAATGGATCTACATATTTTTGCTCATCTTGATCTGCTTCTCCAACTTCTGCATCATCTGATCTGATCACACCATCTTTGTTCATGGTATCAGATTTCAGTGTCTCAGAGACCTGAGTGTTAGCTTGATTGCTAGGTGTTAAAACTTGGACTGATCCCAATGGTGCTCTGTCTTGCAAATCACCTACAATAACATATTCCATAAGGTACTAAGAGGCAAAAGAAATGCACCCACAACGATAGTAATGTAATCAAATAAATTGAATAAATCTATGGCATCTTCTGAAAATTGAACATAAGCATGATATTATTCCCAATTGAAATTACACAGCCATTCGTAAGCATAACAAGTTGTGAAACAAAACCATTGATGCCCTCTTTGTGCTCAAACTCGTTCAAAAAAACCAAAGTAAGAACCCCAAAATTTGGAGTATTTCAAAAGAAAATATTGAAATAACTCAAACCTTAAGTGCCAAGGATGAAAAAATCTGAAAATATCCATAAACCATTGTTTTAAATCCGGGATAACAGCCCATAACTGTCGGCCCCAAAAATTATATATCGGGATAAAGGATAGTGGGAAAGCCACTGTTCAGAAATTTTAATATAGTTTACATAGATTATACTAAATAACATATAATTAATAAATTTTCACAAAAAAATGTGGCAGAGAATGATATTATACAGAAAAACCAGTTGCCAGAGAAAAGAAAACACAAGGCAGTGAAAGTGAGAAACCAGCTAACAGAGTGCTAGATCCAGAGACATACACTTAGTGTGCATTGGGTTGAGAGACAAAGTGAGAAATGACAGCTTTTTGATTGGTTTATAAGCAAAATACTTTTGAAATTTGAAATCCCAAAAGAAAACCCCACCAAACAAGCCCTAACATTAGGATTCAGAGGACTTGTTTGGAATTAAAAGATAGCGCTGTCATTTCATCCCTTATGGCTGCTATTTTGCCCACAACAGTTGCTACACTGAACTACCCCGCTTCAGTGGCCCCTGTAGCTATCAAGGACCACTCGAACACCTTACACTACTATAAGGGTGCTATGACCACTATTTAAAACCCTAGCATAAACCCAGGTTATTTCTCAAGAATCAACATATATAATACAGAATTTCATAGATTTTAGTTTATAATAAGTACATGTTTGATAACACATCTATTACATTTGAACGTGGATCAACAAGAAGCAACTCAGGCTTGTTTTTCCATCAATTTCCTCTTTTTGATGTGGTTTTAAAAGATAACATGGGTCCCCATTCCCCAACACAAAACCAAACATACACTTAATCATCTATAGACTTATAATCATGATTACCCAGTAGCTTACACTATAAGGTCACATTCATTCATTATCATCAGTAAGCCAACAAGATCAAGCCATCTATCAGTGATAAGAACAACATACTAGCGAAGTTTTAATTAAAGTTCCACAATTTCATTTGGAATAAGCAGTATGAAAAAACTATAAAGTAAGGCAATATTGCTGAGCACCAAAAAGACTGGCCAAGTGATCCCTTTTCAAACTTTGTTATTAGCACAAACATGTGCGGAAAGCTAAAATTATATGATGTTCAAGCAAATTGAACATTGCTCAGCAGTTGGCATATATAGCAGTAACTCAATGGTGAACAAAAATTAAACTGACCATTGGCGACATGAAGCTGATCCCCATACATGACCCGACCGGTACCATATATCTCTCCCTCCTGCAATAACCAGCAAACAACCATTATTTAGCATTCAAAATAACTTGCAATTAGATGTTATTTACAAATTCAAAGAGAATGAGTACCTCAGGCTCAGGTGACATTGCCACCTCGTCATGCCCATAATCCACTATCGTAAGCGCCCCTCTCCGACCAATCCTCGGTTGCTCCGGCGGTGGCGAAACCCTAGTATTCTCCGCCAGAGTCGATCCCTCTTCGTTCTCGTTGTGGAAATGGACCACCCCTGTTCTATCAGCAGTATCTTCCTCCGCGGCAAATCTTGCATCTCTGGGAGCATCTTCTTCCATGTGCATCTCAGCATCACCTTCTTCTTCTTCTTCCACGTCCTCCATTTCATCGTCTTCCTCGTCGTTGTACATGGACAACAAGGCGATACCCTCTAAATGCTTCTTCTTGGACGCCATCAAAACTGGCTAGGGCAAAAGGTCAAGAGATTCTGAAAGGGCTCAATTGAATTCCAACGAAGGAAAATTGAGCGTTGAGCAAAGGGTTTTTGTAAGAATTGAAAACGTTAGAGCAGAAAGGTTGGGCAACTCTAAATTTTTTGCGAAAATGGTTCACAATGAAACGAACTTAAATATAAAACAACTTTATTTTTAAATAAGGAAAGTGCATGTTTTAGAGTAAAAATCTCTTCAAACAAAAATCAAAACACTCTCCACATAATGGATGGGAGTATGTTTTACACTTTCATTTGATTATAAATTACATGAAAGTAACACGTTTGTAAGATTGTTATTTATTCTGGTAATTATTTAAAATAGTTTTTATCGGTTAGTAATCTACGATATAAAATGTTTTTTAGTTTAACAAGTTAGTGTTAATTAAAATCATATTTTGTGTGATATAATATAATTATTATAAAAGTTAACCAACTTTTTATTCATATTAATTTGTAATGGGATGATAATATAATATATAATCCATCATCTCTGTATATAAATTATAATACATATTAATATTGAAGTCCTTGTAGTGTTACTACTAGAGTTCAATTGCGAGAGTCCATGTACCACCAGTAGCGTTTGTGATCGTTGCTGTAAGAATTATTTGTCAGAAATCTTATCCTTCATTCAATGTCATTGAAAAATGTTCCCTATTAAGATTTATAATGACATTTTCTTAAGTAAAAAATAGCTAGTATGAAAATTTTATGAAAATTGATCATATTCACTTACATTAAAAGTTTATTTTTATATGTATTGTGTTAAATTTAGACAAGTTATTGTTGACTCAGTATTATATGGATTATCTATTATATTTGGAGTATAAGGGTTCTCATTGCATGTGTTTTTTGGGTAGTCATTTTAAAATGATAATTGTAACGAATTTTTAAGAAGCAACTAATAGACATGAGAAAGGAGGGCAACAAAATATTTGTGCATTGGCTAGAGAGAGAAATGTGGCTTAATGCACCAGAAGGTGAGAGGTAACAACAATCCTAGTATTCAAATTCGGGAACAATGTGATTGATTTTCAAATTTACTCATTATGTGGGAAGTCATTTGGCCCTTAAATGATTGAGAAACACAATTTTAAGAAAAATATTGTTATGGGAAACATTAAGTACTCTTTCAAATGGAAAATGAAGAGAAAGAAAATTGGAACTATTATGAAAAAAGAATACACGAGAGAAACAATTTTTAGAGATTGATGAACTTGTAATTCAATGAGTGTTAATTCCCAAATAGATCACAATGTGCATGTTTAAAATAACTTTGTATACACTTCTTAATTAGTAATTTAGTAACACCTTTAATGATTAGGATTTATCTTTAAAAAAAAGTATAAAATAAATGAACATTTTGATAAATAAAAAGATAAAAGAATTGAATAAAGTTTTGTGAGTACTTATAAATGTAGTACTATTTGGTATAGTTTTTAAGCATATTTTAAGATTTATATTTATCTTATTAGTGTACATTTATTATCAATTTGATTTATAATAATAATAATGATGTATAGAGGTAGTAATAATAATTTATAATAATGTATAATAATAATATTATTTTATTAGTCGTAATGATTTAGTGATAAATTCTTCTAATAAAAATATAATAAATAAAAAAACTTCTCATTTTCTCATTAAAAAAATAGTTTCGAGAGTTCCCTCTTTCCAAAAGATAAAAAAAAAATCATTAAAAATAGGAGCAACTTTTCAATTTAAAATTCTATTTTTAAAATAAAAATTAGAAAATATCTTCTTATCTTTAAAATAAAAAAAGATAATAATAACAATAATAATAATAATAATAATTAATAAAAATAAAAAATATTTTCTTAAAGCAAAATAAATATTTATAAAAAATTATAAAATTTACATAATTAACTAGAGATGTCGTTTTCAATTTGGCGTTGTAAAATAGCTTCCTTACCGATTCAATAAGCTAATACTGAAAATAATAAACCAACGAAATAAAATATGAGAGCACCAAAAAAATAAAATTTTACACTTTTTTGTGACAAGCAAAGAATATTATTCAGAATAGAAACGTGGTCAAGCTTAACACTAAGGTAGTGTTTATTTCCGGGAGAGTACTGTACACGAGCAAAGAAAGGCGTGGAAAGTTTTCGTTTGTTTCCCCTGATTTAGAACGAAAGAAAGGCGAAGAAAGAAGAGGGGAAACACTGTTACTCTCCTCGTACAAAAGAGAAGAAAAGAGGTGAAAGACACGTAAGATTTGTGAAAATCCAAAAATATCCCTACCTCATACAGCATAATCGATTATGTTGTATGTATATATACAACATAATCGATTATGCTGTATGTATATATATAGCATAATCGATTATGTTATATATATATATATATAAAATATTAATATTTAATATATAATAATTTAAATTAAATATAATTATTTAATATTAATATTTAATTTATATAT